TTGGCCTTGCAGGTCATAGGGTTAGGCAAGACTCACTTTGTCCTTCAGATTGTTGCTTTTGTACAATCATGACAGTTCAGTTGGACTTTGTTTTTGACAGCTCTATCATGTAATTTTCCAGAATGTGTTGAAGTGGAACCCAATATCATTGGCTTCATTAAGTAGATTTTCTGCCTGCTGGAACATACCATGACTATTCTATTTATTTTTATAGCTCATGAAAAAAAATTGATTATTTCAATTCATGAAGTTCTTTTACAGATAATTTTCCAGAAGAGAAAGACCATACATCAGTTACTAGATATGCTCATGATTGAGCATTTGAGACTTTGGTCTGTAAGGAACTGTCTATGCTGAGTTCCATGTTGGCATTACTGGCACCAGCATTTAACAGGTAGAATACTGGCTTAAGGAATACGTGAGTGGAGGGAGAATTCTGTGGAGTAATTTAAAGAACATTCATGCAAAAGTCATCCGTAAGTCTAGAGAATGAAAAAGGGAATTTCTAATATAAAACCAATTCATAATCTGAGAGGAAAAATGAAGCTGAGTCAAATACAAGTGCCAAGTGAAGAAACACTAGAGTCTTTGGACACAAGCCTGCTAGGGAGAGAATGCCGAGAGAAGGTTGTGGGTACAGAACTCAGAAGTCAGACACAGTTCATGGTATAGTCAGAGGGACACACAAGTTTTTCTGGCCAGGAAGCTACCCTGGAAAAGAAAACATTCATAGGGTTTAGGTATTAGAATAAAAAAAAAACAAATCAGATATTAATTTGTTTTTTTTAAATAGTAGTTAACTTGAAATAAGAATTTGAAATTAAAGTATTAACTTTTATCAACATATGAATCAAAGTTCCTAGAAACTATGACAATTGGAAAAAGAAGCTATTACGGGACATTACTGAAATTTTAAATGTTTTTCTGAGTACTTTTTGTTGTCTATCTTTGTTCCATCAGTAAAAGGTGGGAAATCTTTCTCTGAACATTCAAGTTGTAGTATTAATCAATCTATTTAACACACTGAACTTGAGAATTAAATAAATAAAATACTCCATTAATATAAGAGAAACTTAAAGTATGGTGAGTTTATGATTTTAACTGTATCAACTTAAGTTCTCATTTGCTTTTATCTTCCAGCAGTACTTTTTAGCATGAAGATATTGTATGTAGATAGAAATCAGGATGCTGAAATGTTAGGTAGGTTATGCAATAAAAAGAAAGTCTTAGAACTTCAGCATGAAAGGCCATCACACGATGTAAGATGAATTCTTTTATGTAGTCAGAGCACAGGCATACAGTGTTAAAACAAAGGGTACTGTGAATCAGGTACTAGACTGTATCCTGTGGCCACAGGCTGTACAGTCAAGCTAAATTTTTACAGTTTTTAAAATTTTTCTGCC